TGGCTCTGCAATGTAAACCGTTACAGGTTCCGGGGCAACTCTGAAGAGTGCGCGTTTGTCTCCTTGCATTTATTGGAAGGATGTCCCTGATACACGATCTTCTAACGGGAGTGGGGAGTATTTTCACATTCCACAACAGTTTCAGTGAAGGAGAGTTTCAATGAGAACACACAGTTCATTTCTGAGATGTCGTCAAACGGCTCCTACTGGATGTCGATGGTCCACGTAGACATCTTGGGATGTCCCTCTCATGGTGTCCTGGGTTGATGTTATCTTCTCACAACCAACAGTTAATTTGACCAGAAGCCGTTCACTTAACAACAAGATATTGTCTTAAAAGCTAGAACAGGAGCAGCCTGAGCTCTCCCGGTCCGACAAGTCTACCATTATCAACCTACCCCATTGTATATGAGGTATTTGCGAGGTATCACTCTGAAACAGGTTTTAAAGATACGCTTCACGATTGTGCGTGTCATCCTTGCGCAGGGAACCATGCTACAGAGAGTAAATATGGGATAACAGAATTACATTTTTTCCAACAGAAAAAAACTTTGTGCATGTTAGTAATATATTTTTTGTGTTAATGTACACTGCACTCTAATCATCCTATCAGTCTCAATTTCACAAAAAGTATAAAAAAAATAAATCAAATAAAATAAAGCAGTTAAATCTTTAACCTACGGTGGCGCCTGACCTGCGTCACCGGAAGTCGTTACCACTCAGCAGTCTGCAATTGTAGCCTGTGATCAGAGTTGTTGCGCTATATCTTTCATTGTTATCATTATTCTCATTCAGAGTTTGTTTCGTGTACAATTCACCAAGGGCACGGGCAAAGAATAGGAATCTAGAGGGCCGAGGGAAGCACTTTAAAACGGTATGTGTGAGCTACGGTAGTTAACAGGCTGCCAAAGTGCCTCGCATGCCTCCGTGTCAGGCTGTTACTCATCATGGCGTACGCGTGAATGTGCGAGCGCATGCGCGGTAACGGGTCGATCGCGGGAGGTTGGTTGATCGAAATGTCGATCTTTGGTCCAAAAAGTTTAGGCACCCCTACCGTACATCCTCTGTTTAGTTTCTGTGTATCAACAACCTTGCAGGTGCAACCTAGTACAGTGTTACCTTAATTTCAGAGTTTAATCTGTTCCATTACCACGCTCATGTCTCAAATTATCTTTCCCCATTAAAATGAGTGAAAATGTCATCAATCCATTCCAAAAATCCCCAAAACACCAACAAAAATGTTTGTAATGATTTTTATTGCACTTTAAAACAAACTTTCAGTCATAAGATCATTAAATAGATTGCAAAGCACCAAACAGTATGTACATGTATGAGTGCATACAGTGCTGTGAAATAGTATTTGGCACCTTCCTGATTTTTGTGTACTTTGCATATTTATCCCATACAAAGGTTTCACTTCTATCAAACCAATTTTAATATCACACAGACTACCCAAGAAAATACAAAATAAAGATTCTAAATGCCAATTTAATTGATTAAGGCACAAAAAAATCCTAAACTACCGGTCCCTCTGTGAAAAAGTGAATGACCCCCTTGTAACAGTGACTAACGACTTTTGGGAAAGCTGAGTTCAATTTCACCGGCAACACACACACACATTTGTTGAATCAAGAAATTATATAAATAGAATCTGTTAGATAAAGTCGGCTACAAGATCTCAAGAACCAAATGCATCATGCTTTGATTGATTGTCGATTCCAAATAATACAACATCACACCGGTAATATTTTGTGTTTGGCAACTATGCCACTTTTTTTCCCCGTTGGGAATTATTGGTGAATTAAAACCAACAAAGGAATTGGGTGAAACCTCATAAGCAACACACTGACGTGAAGGGTAGGCCAGCATCAAAACAAAACAGAGGGAGGGTGAGTAAAATGTGTCTGCTCTGCACGGTGACCGCCCGGAGCAGCACATAAAGTTGTAGGTAGCGTGTGGCGACACAGAGACGCTGCTATGTTTACTCTTCAATAAAACTGTCGCAGCGCATACCGGAGAGAGAAACGGAAACTCCAGTATACAACACCATAGAACTTTATTTGTACGGCGCATTTCACAACCGCTGCAGCTGCAACAAAGCATCTTGTACAAATAACATCACAATAATACAGCAACAAAAGAAAGTCAAAACAGTCAAAAGGGAAGCAAGGATTGGGATAATATGCTTCCTGTTACGAGGTCCAGTTAGAAGGCGAGCAGCCGCATTTTGGACCAACTGCAGACCCTTGAAAGAGAGTACTGGCTGACTCCAAAATAAAGTGCATTACAATAATCTGAGGTGGAATGTAGGTATGGAATACTGTTTCCAAGTGCTGCTGAGAAAGGAAGGCCTTTACCATAGCCAGCTGCCTAAGATGACAAAAGAAGCCGTGTTTTAAGTATACATCCACTGACAATCAATACCAAGATCCATACCACTGTCCGCATCTGTGCACTCGTCGTCAGGACGGATCTGTTTGCCGTAACTATGTCATCAGCTTTTGAGAAAACTCTCTCGGTGAGGAAGAGGGTGGCGATTACATCCAAGTAAGAATGTGCCAATATGACGAGATTTGAATAATACATTCATGAAGCTTCCAGAAAGCAATGCATTCCTTTGCCGTGTAGGCAAATGCTTCCTCCTTCAACTGCAGGGCGCCTTAATGAAACCGGATTTATTATTTCCCACTCTGTGTTTATGAAGTGCGCAGTCACTGTGAGATGGCTTTCAGTGGCTGGGAATGTCTATCCATCTCTTGTTAGTACAACAGCGGGTGCAGCCAAAAGCCCCTGCTCAACAGATGCATGTGTGTGTGTGCGTGCGTGTGTGTGTGTGTGTGTGTGTGCGTGTAAAAAAATGTAAACTTGACCACACCGAGTTAAATGTGTCTTGTATTTTTCTGACTGAAGAAGGTATATTTTGACTGTGCCATGGAGGATAGTTTGAAAGGACCCTGCGATTGTTTTTTTCAATTTGGCTTTCATAATGTTTGTAAATGACTCATGTTTACTGATTCCAATCCATTGTTAGGAGTCAGTTCATGTTTCATAAGACAGGTTCTTGTGGGAAATGAATGAGAACAGCCTTCGTGTTTCATTAAAACTAAACCCTCGCACCAGGTTTAGGTGCTCCACGGAGACAGAGGACAAAAAGAAGAGATTCACAGCATCTCACTGGAGCAATGACTCATTCTCTCGCTCCTTCAGCACGCAGATTTCATGAACACCTGCACAGTCCGCTGACATCCAATATAAGAGCAATTATTTTTTAAAAATGTCTTTACAAAGGTAATAATGTTCAATTTCAGTTGACACAGTCAGTGAGGTATTATTGTTGTTATCGGCAGGCTGAAAAATGGCACGGAAACATACCGAGTTATAATATTGTGGTTCTTTCAGCTACATGAGGCATCTTAGAAACATCTTAGCACCACATGAATTGACAACTACCACATCAAACGTGTTGTTGAAATGAACGTATCACGGTGTCTGTCAAAAGTGGAGAATCATATTTGTGCCACCACTGTGGATTTTGGTTTTCATGAGTCCTTAGTTTTACATGTATTATGATCATTTTTTTTTTTTTTTTTTACAGGGAATTTGTGTGTGCACGCGCACGTAACTTCGTGTATTGTAGCGGCCAAAAGAATGTCCCAGTAGAGTCATTAAAGACCCCAGACGTGAGTCATTGACTCCAATTATGATTTAATCTGCATGTGGGTGAATAATAAGAGGGATGATGTTAGTCACAGTAACACTAACTGTGTGTACACAAACACAACACAGACTGCTCGGCCAAAAAGGTTCTGCTGCTTAATCGTGGACATCTGTTCTCTAAATCAAGTAATTAATTGCCATGGTCGTCACATTCAAACTAAGATCCTCAAATTTACTAATAACCAGAGGTGGGTAGAATTAAAAAAAAAAGAAAAAAAAAAGGAATCTTCTGAATAATTACTTGGGTAAGCCTAAGCGCTCAATGAATAATAGTCATGTGTTACGCTAATATATCCATTTTTAATGACTACCCTATTTTCATGACCATGAGGCACACTTAAAAGTCTTAAATTTTCTCCAAAAATGGCTGCGGCGCCTAATAATGCGGGGACACCTTATATATGCACCGTGTTCCAAAATGTTGCGTGACTTTGATGAGCGCTCCACTTGACTGACTTCTGCCGACACGCCGGTTAGAGAGAGGAAAGTCGGACGTGACTGAGAAAAGAATGTGGGCGTTAAAGCGGGAAGGGTGGGCGTGAAAGAGGACACTAAAGGCACATCGCCAGTAGGTGCATATAGTGCCGGTATGTGCATTGTGCCAAAGCTAAAGACCCTCGAAAATGGCACATACGAAGAGACACGCTTACGAAGCACAGTTTGAACCGCAAGCTATCAGTTACGCGGAGGACCGTGGGAATCGAGCGGCCGTGAATTCAAGATCAATGAATCCATGGTGCTCGGTGCTTTCATTCGATGAAAAAGGGCAGTCCATCCATCCGGGCTAGAAATATCATGGCCCATCAACATCTGGCGGAAGTGAAGCATTCTCGGCCAATTTGCATCCCCCTCCGGGAGCACGACGTCACATACAGTATTCAAAATGTTTAAAGATTTCAAGTCGGAAATTGAGTCCCTATTGTGAGTTTGTGTCAGCAAAAGAAAATTTGAAGATACGTTGCACTCTGCTGTCCACAAAGTGTTATCTAGCTTCGTCAGCCTACTAATTGCACTTCCTATTCAGTATTTCCAAAACTGTCCCTCAATTTTATGTTAAGCGGGTTTGTCGGCATGTTTGCAACGTAACTAATGAAGTCATTAGTCATCCAATTTATTTACTTTTAAATTCAAGTCATCAATAATGTAACTTAGTTCTTTTTATCGTCATGTAAGCAGAACAACAATTAAGTCACTTCTTCAAGGTAACTGTGGCAACACTGTCAAGCATGGAGTCACCCATGATTAACTTCCGCTTTATTCTTTAGAACCAAAGCATGATTGACAAATGGACAAAAATATATTAGAATGTACCAGGTCAGGTCATTTCAGATCGCTCAACGAAAACACTTTAACGACAACAAAGCAAAATAGCATTAATCAAGGCAAATACAGCCACAAGAAATTGTCCTGAATGGAATCCGTTTGAACACACTTCAAAAACAGCACACAATAGGCAGTGATTACTGTATGTGGAAAAACAGGAAGAAGGCAGTTCAGTGAATGGCATTACTGCTCTTTTTCATGCTTCACTGAATGACTCAGTGCCCCTTTGACAAAGGAAGCAGCCATTTAACTGGCCGACTCTGTTTCTTGGGTGAAATAGAGTCAAACTAACTCAAGAAAGAAGTGTTTCTTTTTAACAGAAACACTTCATGAAGTGTAAAAAGAAAAGTATCTTGCATTAAGATGACTTTGATGAATAAAATGTCACCAAAACGTTCCTTAATTAATTGTAACAGAATAAAGGTCGGTGGTCATTCCGCACCTCTGCTTATAAGGTGACACGCTAGATGTCGAGTAAGGGGGGGAAAGCACTTGGTGATTTCAAAGTCCAAGTGCAAAGTAGATTTTCTTTTTTTTCATGAGAAGTGGATCACAAAAATGTCGTTCCATAAAAAAATAATGTTGTGGCTAATTTTTTTCACAGTTATTATGATTATTATTCTTGATAAAGGGAAACCAGGACATCATGGAGGGTTGGATTCATAGTGAGGAAAAATGGCAGAATTTTTATGAGCATAAAAGTTGTTTTAAAGGAGACCTAGGCATTTATTTCCCAATTTCAAACATTTCCCAGGTGTCTTGATAAGGGGATGGAACTAACAATTTGGCGTCCGTGGGCATCACGTCGTCCCCATGAGTAGCCCGCTGGCCTGTTCTAAAAATACCTCAACAGTGGTGGGACATTGTGATTTCCTCAAAATGTTGACGTGAACTAGAAATTGTGAAAGACTTTCAGAGATTTATACCATCCATTCATTTTCTGAACCGCTTTATCCTCACAAGGGTACTACACAGCAAAACCAGAAGCTCGGCAAACCATCAAACCATCCATTGCTGGAGCCTATCCCAGTCATCTTTGGGCAGTAGTTGGGGGACACTCTGAACCGGTTGCAAGCCAATCGCAGGGCACACAGAGACGAACAACCATCCGCGTTCACACTCACACCTAGGGGCAATTTAAAGTGTTCAATCAGCCTGCCCCTGCGATTGGCTGGCAACCGATTCAGGGTGTCCCCCGCCTACTGCCCCAAAAACCGGAGTACCCGGAGAAAACCCACGCAGGTCCGGGGAGAATATACAAACTCCACACAGGAAGGCCGGAGCCAGGATCAAACACACGACCTCTGCGCTGTGAGGTTGACGTTCTAACCACTGGACCACGGGGCCGCCCACGGATTCTACCATGCATTTTAATTTATACTATTTATATATTTCCAAAAAAATCTATCTAGCAAAGTTGACTTTTTTCTCTGATTAAAAAAATATGTTGGTTTTTATTCACCTCTGGTTTGCATCCATTGTCAACACCGCTTATCCTGAAGAGGGTCGCAGGGAGTTTCTGGAGCCTATCCCAGATGACTTCGGGCAGAAGACAAGACGACCCCCTGAACTGGTCGCCAGTCTGTAGCGGGGCACACATAGAGACAAACAACCATTCACACCCACATTTACACCATAACTGAGTGGGAACTGATCCCACGCCGCCCGCACACAAGTCAGACGAGTGTACCACTACACTATCAGCGACTTTGCCTTGTGCAAGTTTAACAAATTTGTTATTTCAGTGTTGTGTATCAGTCTGGCAGCCGCTCACATAATCAATAGCCAAGAACTATTGTAGCTCTCATTTCGAACAAAGTTTGGGATACAGCAGAATAAAATGCAGCAGAGCATTGCCGCAATGTACAAACACATGCCGGTGGCTTGTTAAGCATCACAACATTTCCTTGCATCGCTCTGTCCCTTTGAGAAATGCTCACAGTCCTCCACATGTGTCGGCCCACCAAATGTTCCAAATTTAGTCGGATCTAATTAAGGTTTTGCATAAAGGGGAAAAGGTTACACGACGGTCTCACGAATGCAGAGGGGAGATGGATCATGAGCTTCTCCTTCCAGGGCAAAGACATAAATTAGAGTCTTGTTCAGTCCCAGTGCTCTAAATGTTTACTCTGGTAAAAAGCAACCCAGAAGCAAAAGCGATGTGCTTGATTTGTTTCAAACTGTTTACCGCTGTAACTTGGAAAGAAATCGAATCTTACGACTGGACCCCAAATGCCTGATCAGCAAGTTTCAAGTTCAATTTTCTCAGATTGCCGCTCTGTACTGCTGTATCGCTCCAAATTACACCAGAGGCTGTCTGAGGTCACTTTCCAAGCGGTGCAGGTCTATAACCTTCCTCGTCATCTTTTAAGCGATAAACCGAACCTGCAAGCATGGAAAAACTCCCGCGAGAAAAGAATTTGACATTTTTTTAGACAATACCATTATATGTAATTCAGGTGAGAAAACAAAGAGGGGAAAAAAGAGCACAGATTATGATCTGAAGACAAGATTTTAAAAAAACATTGTCTTCTGAGAGAAAACGTGTCATCATTATCATGCCATTTTTCAAAAAATGAAAAAAAAAAACATCGATCAAGATTGTTGCCTTTCCTAAACTTCCTGACAGTGTATGCTCCCCATTTTTTTCCTGCTCTTATAAATGCACAATTCATCCTCACCCAATAAAAACTTTAAATGCTGCCACTTTGATTTTTTAATTTTTTTTTTTAAGTGCCACAAGCGCTCACTAGAACAAAAGTGTGTTGATTTTGACAAAGTGCTCCGTCAAAATAAACTTGCGGTTAGTCTCGATTATTCTGCGGAATCTTCCAGGTGAAATAGCTTGTTTGCATTTCAGTGAGCACAAGTTTACTTTTCTCAAAGGATTAGAAGGTTGGGGTTTTTTTCTATTGTTTGGGGATTTTTTTAAAAATTTTGTTTTGTGTGTTTTTTCGGTTTCCGTTTAACTCACCCATCACACGTGTTGTACTTTTGAAGTGTTCATTTTACTAATCATCTTCATTTGGATGGAGTAGAAGGAAATTTGGATTAAAAAAACCAACCCACAGTTGGTAAACATCAGAAAGGAATATGTGCAACTGTAAAAGAATGAATGACAACAAATTGTGTACCTCTGACGAGCAGAAACCGAAAAGATTGTGCGGCTTCAAGCTAACCTCACACAATTGTGGATAAACTATTGAACCAAACGAGGTGGGGCGCGGACTGTTAACTGCAAACTTTTCTCTGGCAGGACAACACAATGAAATCGCTGGGCGTGGCTTTAAGCTGTGATCTGCTCCTCAGAGCCAGTGTGATTTTCTCCAATGAACTTTGGAGAAAATCAACATTTCAAAGGAGAGAGTACGATAGAGTCACAGAATTCATTTATTTGTTCTTCAGACTTTTTCTCTCCACAGTTGACGTCACAGAGCAGGAGTGTGACCCACATGAAATATTCAGTGATTGCAACATTTTAAATTTTTTTTTTTTAACATTGCCATCTTCATCCGATTGTCAGTCCATTGAAATCCCCTCCTAGTGCAAACTTTGCTTTTGGTTGAAGAAGTTCAGTAGTTTCAAGGAAACTGTGGTTGGGAAGTCCCACCCCAAAAATCCCAACATATATTGCGTTTGAACGCACGCGTCTTGTTTCAGGTTTGTGAACCCGATGAAAGTGATCACAGCAGTCGATTTTGTAAAGAGAAAAAGAAAATCCACAAATGAGATGAGAAATGAATTTCCTCTACTGTTTTTGCCCACAAATGAGACATCAGTTCTTCTATTCAAAAACCTACCATGTCTACATCCTTCACGCTAGTGTTTCTGCAAAAAAAAAAAAAAATTTGATCTCGCACTCAAAGCTCCTTCTCGCACCTTTGCGTTGACGTCTCTTTCTTTTTAATCTTTCCAGTGATTCTTAACGCTCACAAGAGGGCCGATATCTGGCAAGACAACGCCGGTTAGAGAGAGGAAAGTCGGACGTGACTGAGAAAAGAATGTGGGCGTTAAAGCGGGAAGGGTGGGCGTGAAAGAGGACACTAAAGGCACATCGCCAGTAGGTGCATATAGTGCCGGTATGTGCATTGTGCCAAAGCTAAAGACCCTCGAAAATGGCACATACGAAGAGACACGCTTACGAAGCACAGTTTGAACCGCAAGCTATCAGTTACGCGGAGGACCGTGGGAATCGAGCGGCCGTGAATTCAAGATCAATGAATCCATGGTGCTCGGTGCTTTCATTCGATGAAAAAGGGCAGTCCATCCATCCGGGCTAGAAATATCATGGCCCATCAACATCTGGCGGAAGTGAAGCATTCTCGGCCAATTTGCATCCCCCTCCGGGAGCACGACGTCACATACAGTATTCAAAATGTTTAAAGATTTCAAGTCGGAAATTGAGTCCCTATTGTGAGTTTGTGTCAGCAAAAGAAAATTTGAAGATACGTTGCACTCTGCTGTCCACAAAGTGTTATCTAGCTTCGTCAGCCTACTAATTGCACTTCCTATTCAGTATTTCCAAAACTGTCCCTCAATTTTATGTTAAGCGGGTTTGTCGGCATGTTTGCAACGTAACTAATGAAGTCATTAGTCATCCAATTTATTTACTTTTAAATTCAAGTCATCAATAATGTAACTTAGTTCTTTTTATCGTCATGTAAGCAGAACAACAATTAAGTCACTTCTTCAAGGTAACTGTGGCAACACTGTCAAGCATGGAGTCACCCATGATTAACTTCCGCTTTATTCTTTAGAAGCAAAGCATGATTGACAAATGGACAAAAATATATTAGAATGTACCAGGTCAGGTCATTTCAGATCGCTCAACGAAAACACTTTAACGACAACAAAGCAAAATAGCATTAATCAAGGCAAATACAGCCACAAGAAATTGTCCTGAATGGAATCCGTTTGAACACACTTCAAAAACAGCACACAATAGGCAGTGATTACTGTATGTGGAAAAACA